CACACACACACACACACACACACACACACACACACACACACACACAATCAGTTTTATGTATGTCAGTCTTTTTTCTGTTGTCTGTCTTCTTTCTGATTTTGTCCAAGTCCTTTCGTGTATGCCCAATTGAGCGCCCTCTAGTAGTGCCAAACAGTCGGTGGTTCCTCGTTCAGAGTGCCAACTGCACTCTTAAGGGGGCCGCTCGGTTCGGGATGTTTGTGTTGCCTGTCGGTGATGACGGTTGCTCGTCGGGTTGACTCCCTGGCTCAGTGGGTGGTGGGAACCAACAGTCTGCGGGGTTCAATCGTGATGTGAGTAGGTCATGTGCTGCTTTGCTCCGTGTTGGATGTGTGAACGTCCTCGTCTGCGCTCTGCCGCTGCCCTGCTGCCTGTGTCCCGCTTGCTTCGCATGTGGTTCTTTGCAGGCTGATGTGTTCGCTGTGCAGTGTGGCCGTGTTGTTGGTGGTGCCTTGCGCTTCGCTGCTTCCCTGCTATGCTGCTCATTCACTGGCCGTGCCTTCTGTCTTTGCCGCTTGTGTGCCCTGTTGGTTGGTTGCCTTGTTGCCGGTGCCTTGTGCTCCGCTCCACGGTTGCCGACCTGCTGGACCACTCTCCCAGTCGTCCCCTGCAGTGTTGGTGCCGTGTTTGTGTTGTCTTGTACTTCACTTCACGGTTTCCGTGCTGCATCCTGCGTGCCATGTCGCTCCTTGCAGTCGTTTTTTTGGCGTTGAGCAGTCGTGATGCCTCTACTGTGTTGCCTGGTGCTTCACAGGGTTGCCGCACGCTGCTAAGTTCCGCTTGGGACAGTCTGCCTTCAACAAGGGTCAAAGGGTTCATGACCCAAACCATCAAATACGGGGATTCCGCAGATTTTCGAGGGTTCAGCCTCCTGATGAGTCGGTGCAATTCCGACGAAACAATCTTTCATCATCTTTTTATTTTTTTTCAGTCTTTCCTTTGTTTATACTCGTATTTTTTTCGGGTGTTGTTTGTGCATAGTCATCGTTTGTTTTGTTGTTGTTTCCTTCGCTGCCTTACGTTGTTTGCTTGCCTGTCCGTCTACCCCAAGCCTTTCACCCAGTGTGCTTTGATGTTTTGTGTTGTTTGCCTGCCCGCCCGCCTCCCCCTTGCCCTCCTGCCTTTTGCTGCTGCACGTTGTTTTGTCCCTTGTTGATTGTCTGGTGCTGTTCTTTTCAGTTCACTACGCAGCGCTGTTGCTAGTTGTTGTTGTCTCTTGCTTTCCTTTTATGGTCTTGTGGCCTAGTGCCTTCGGGCCATGGTCCTTTGGTCTTGGTAGGAGTGTTGAAGGATAGAGGTCTATGTATGCACATATGCTGTTGCTTTCCTGTTTGGGATGGGAGTGCCTTCTCCATACAATGCGGATCACTCAGCCTCCTGATGATATGGCTTGTGATCGTTCTTTCAAACACAGCTCGCCGCGATTAGCGTCGCGGTAGCACACTGTTGCACCAAAACACACACACACACACACACACACACAC